GATAAATCCCTAATTCTTGCCTATATGTGTCAAAACTCTCAATATAAAGATTAAATCAAAGAATTTAAGCCATCAAAATCGTTATCAAACTCCCATTGTAAGTCTTTTAATATCCAAGTGAATACCCTCAAAAAATGTTGTATCAAAGTAGATACAATAATATGACCAACAGGGGCAGAACAAGTTCGACTTTAAAAGGAACTGAGATCATAGTAAAATTCATTTTGAAAATTATTATTATTCTAGAAATTATCGAAACAATCAAGGACAGGGCACCCAGAGTACGCAGAGTACTAGAATTCCCCAAAGAATGACCTAGTCTTAGAATCAGATCAGCAACGTAAATCCGATCCAGTGGACACTTTTGAAAATGTTTAGACAATAGCCCCGCAAGAAACACAACAGCAATAAAACTTAAATGGATAATAAATTATGCTGTCTTATACAGGTTGAAGTATAAATAGAATAAAAATAATAACCGAAAACGTTTTAAAATATCCAATCAAAAAATGGATAAAAGTATACAAAAGTCATATAACAGTATAACATGAATAAAATGATTATGAATTCCATATAGTAAATATATTATTACCGAAAAAGTAATTTCAAAGGTAGTAGATAATGACAAATATATTTATACCTTGCAAGCTGATTTACCCTACAATTATATTAGAGATTAACAATTATATTGATATTAATAGCGATGATTAATAGCGAAATATTTAGGATCATAAAGGTGAAAATTAGTAAAAGAACATATAGTAATCCCTACATTTACGACACACTTTTAATGATAAATTTCCCATTCCAAAAATATACGAAATATAAGACAATTTAAGAAAATGTCTATAAAGGGTTCCATCAAACTGAAATGGACCCAGACTATATTAAAAAAGTGCATTCTCTACTAAAGAGGGTCATTATGAATATACTAGGATGCCTTTTGGTCGGACATGCTTCGTTTCATGCTTGTACCCATTGCAATACTTACCCATACTTAGACGATATTGTTATTTTTTCAAAATCCTTCAAAAGCAAATTTAAAAAGTCTATATAATATTTAATTAAATAATATTAAATAAATATATAAATATAAATAATATAAATATAAAAATATATAATATATAAATATATAAATAAATAAATAAATATTTTAAATAATATATAATATAATAATACCAATATAAAAATAATAATAGAATAATTTTGTAGTTTAAAATAATTTGGTATTTCCTTTAATTACCAGCAATTTTGAATGTTATTCTTGGAATGTTGCAATTACCGTGTCAGCACTTTGAATTATTCTTGACAATCGTGGCAATTAAACCGGGGCTGTGCTCCGAAGTTGGCTAAACAAATAATTATTCAATCAATAGGGCAATTAAAATATTTCAAAGGTGTATAAAACATGCGTAACCAGCCGAAGCCTCTTATGTTCCGGAACGCAAAGCCATGGGTAGACTGTTTCAGCTGCAAGAGTACTGCCTGCGGGCAATGGCACATAGAGACGACATGGATAGTACCGAAGACAGGGCACTCAGCTTGAAGCACATTAGCTCCCTGATCTTCGTTGTATCGGCGCAGTACCCATTGATCTCTTACGCCGCCTACAACCGCAATGACATGGAAAAAGTCACGGCTTGTCTCAGCGTGGTGTTCACCAATATGCTAACGGTTATAAAAATTTGTACATTTTTGGCGAACAGAAGGCATTTCTGGGAAATGATGCGCCGCTTCAGGAAAATGCACGAGCAGAGTAAGTGGGCTGCTTATAATACAAAGACAACGTCTGAAACGGCTGTATCGAGCAGCGAGTGAAACTCATAAAATCGGAGAAGCATTGGACTACGTGGCCGAAGCCAACAAGGTAGCATTTTTTCTGGGAAGAGCCTATTGCTTGTCCTGCGGCCTCACAGGACTCTATTTCATGCTGGGACCCCTTGTGAAAATCGGAGCTTGCCTTTGGCATGGCACAACATGTGACAAGGAGCTGCCCATGCCCATGAAGTAAGAATGCATTGAGATTACGGATTGAGCTCAACGGATTCTCCTTCTCCAGGTTTCCATTCAACGATCTGGAAAGCCCCGGATACGAAATTTGTTTTCTCTATACCGTACTAGTCACTGTTGTCGTAGTTGCCTATGCCTCGGCAGTGGATGGCTTATTTATTTCGTTTGCTATTAATCTGCGAGCCCATTTCCAGACACTGCAGGCTCAAATCGAAAACTGGGAGTTTCCATTGTCCCAACAGGACACACAAGCCAGGCTGAAATCAATCGTTGACTACCACGTGCTACTGCACTCCCTATCCAGAAAGTTACGATCGATGTACACATCCACCGTGATGGGGCAGTTCGTCATAACCTCCTTGCAGGTGGGTGTTATAATCTACCAACTAGTGACGGTGAGTAGAACGACTGCTTCCGAAACGACCCCTTAAACAAGGAATAACATCTCACCCAGAACATGGACTCTGTTATGGATCTCTTGCTGTATGCATCGTTTTTCGGTTCCATCATGCTGCAACTCTTTATCTATTGCTATGGAGGTGAAATCATTAAGGCGGAGGTGTGTAGTAGTAGTTTGTCCTTTTTTGTGGCTTGATTTCGTGTCTTCTAGAGTCTGCAGGTGGACACTGCTGTCCGGCTCTCCAACTGGCATCTGGCTTCTCCCAAGACACGTACTGCCTTGTCATTGATCATTATTCAGTCCCAGAAGGAAGTGCTTATTAGAGCTGGCTTCTTTGTCGCATCTCTGGCTAATTTCGTTGGGGTAACTCAGATACATTCACATGTATTTCTCAGTTGCCTTTCGCTAACTCTTATGCTTGCAGATCTGCAGAACAGCCTTATCGTTGATAACACTCATTAAATCTATTGAGTAATAAAATATAATTTATCAAGATACTTACTTGTCCCCCTGGTCATTTTCCTTGAAGCCTGCAAATTAAGTAAATTATAAAAAATACATTTCATAAATATTTATGAATATTTTAAGTGAAAAGCAATATCAATATTCGTCCCAAAAGAGGATTTCAAACTTTTGAATGGGTCACTCGTTAGGAGAAGTTTCTGTTTAATATCAGAAGATATTAGACAATTAATAAAATTATAATTATTATATAAAATATAAAAAATTATAATAAATTACTTTATAAAATTACGTGTTATGTATAAAAATTTGGGGAATTCGAAGAGCTATAAAGTTGGAAATTGAATTTTTAACTAATATTTAATTATTAGCTTCCAAAGACATATAGCGCCAAGTGATTACCACCTGTTCCTGTCCATGGCGAATGCCTTTGGTGGTGTAAAGTTGAACTCAAAAGAGGCTTGTGAAAAGTGGCTGTCCGAGTTCTTCGCAAATAAGGAGGGGGGCTTCTACGAGGGAGGTATTATGAAGTTGCCGTCTAGATGGAAACAGATTATCGAACAAAACGGCGCATATTTGAACTAAATCCGATCACTGTAACACTTTTTATAAAGCATTGAATAAAGTGCAAAAAAGCGGAAGGGAGATATTTGTCGACCTTTTATAAGAAGTCTGTACGTCTCAGCGGTTCAGTTATACGAGTAGGAAATTTAGTTACTTATTGCTTTATGTCCACCTAAACTAGCGGGTAGAACTCAAGTATCTTATATATCTATAGAACCGCTCATCGCTACTGCTTTCAACGCTCTTTCTTCTAAAATATAGCTCGGAAAACTACAGGATTTTCCTTGGGAACTTCGACGCAATGTGCAGTCTCAGCCCCCGTTTCCATTCCCGTGGATTTGGACTTGGTTGAGCAAGTGCGTCGCCAAAACCCCATACACAAGCGACTGCGAACCGATGTCTACGCTAAGGCCAGATATAACTCGTAGTACTTGTAAAACGATGCAAGGCACCACATTGAAGAACAGGGCAATCTTAAACAGTGGGAGAGAACTTTTTCTGATAGGACTTGACATGCTTATCGTTTCGGAATTATACTTAAGCATAAGCACTCGCTCAATTGAAATATGACCACAAATTTAGCAATGCACCGTGGGGCGAATGTAGTAAGATCATTTACAATAACCTTCTTGCTATTTAACTAAATAAACAAGAGATTTGCTGTAGTAGGTTCCCGCGACTATCAGATACCTGTTACTCATTTCTCAGGGAGAAATTTCAACCCTTTGTTGGCCTAGCGATAGAAATTGGCAAGGAAAACAGATAAAAAAAACAAGAATATTGTGGTCGTGACAGCATTTTGCGGCTTGTGATTGTTAGGGTGGGTGTGGTCAAAATGTTTTCTACCATGTCGATAGAAACGGTGATAGCTTTTAGTTGGATTGCAGTCCGTTAAAGTGGGCATGGCAATCTATGAAACTAATTGTCGCTGCCTTTACGTTTCTTAATCTTAACTTTATAGGCTAGAGATCAGAAATATATTTATAATTTATAGGGCCGGAAGCACTTCCTTTTACCTTTTCAAAAATCTGGTATACAGAGACCGAGGGCAAATAAATATAGTGATACAAATGGTAGTGATTTTAGGGAGAAAATATTTTTTTATTTGACAATTGGAAATAATAAGCCACTGTTTGAAACACCCGCAACTTAAGCGAAAAAAATCTAAGATTTTGCATTGATAAAGCATTTCCAGATGCTATCTATGCTTTTCAGAAGTATTTTGCCTAAATACAACACATTTTAAAATTATTTCTGTGTCTTTCTGGAGCATATTGGTTTCTTTTAATTTCAAGCTGTTAAACCCTTCTTAAATCGTACCGAATGAGTAAATTTTATGTAGTGTATTTTTAAAGAGCTTAATCTTTTTTCACCACAAAAGATGATATCACAACTCTTGATTGTGGAAAGTGCCTCGTTAGGATGTGTTTGATTTCTGGCGGTGAAGAAATTTTTTTATAAATTGTGTTAATTTCTTTTATTCTGTATCATGATATAATTATTTATTTTGATAGTTAGAAACATACAATATTAGTCATCATAATACATATTTTGAAAAGCTGTTAAGAAATATGGAAACATTTTATAAGAAATACGGAGTTTTGGGCTTCATTTTCAATTCAAGTTAAATAGTTGGACGGCTCAGGAACAAACGAATTAGAAAAAGTCAGATTGCCGAACCACTGTGCAACGAAATCCGACATCCGTTGAGGGGTCCGATAGGCTGGCGCAGAAGCTGGGTACCCAGTGACTAGAGCTCTACGATGACAACCTCAAGTATGGTGTTCGGCGCATCCGTAGCCCTTATTCTGTTGATGTGGACTGGAGCAGGGCATTGCCAAGTGGGCTACGTACGGCACCTGTCGGAGCTGCGAATTAGGGAACTTGAAAAATTGGCAGTTCGCATGCAGAGCTCCATCAACAGCGAAAAGTATGCCTGTGATAGTTATTTCGACTACGTCTGCAGCCGCAATCGACCACTATTTTCAGTAATGGGTAAGTGAGTATAGCGTGTGTTAAGGGAGTGCCTAATGCAAGTGCCCAATCGAAGGACACATGCCGCAGATGGACGATCTGATGCAGCTGCTGACCGAGCTACAGAACGATCCAGAGCACTTCGAGGCCAAACAGAAGATGCTGGACTTCTTCATCTCCTGCAACTCGCAGCACGCGCTGGAAGACTGCTATCGGGAGACCTTTGAGTATTTCAAGCCACTTTTCGGGTACATAGTTACAAAAAACCTGCTCGACGGAGGATCCCACGAGCTGGATGACTTCCTGGGCATTTTGGACCGCTTCGTCGCCAGGCTTCAGAAGGACCGAGATTCGAACCCCATTCTCAGCAAGCTAGCCACCTACAAGCAGAAGTTCAAAACGCCGCGCGTCTACTTCCATGCCAGAGACCTGAGCCGGGAGTACCAGGACCTGCGGATCTACCGGGAGAGCTACGAGCACAACGTTCGCAATCTGGAGCAGCACCGGAAGCTGAACTCCACGTACGAGCTGGGGGTTCAGCGCACCATGCTGGATTGGAGCATGTACCTCTTCCAGAGCCGCAACAAACCCATGTCCTACTTCTACTCCACGTTCACGGTCCACTTGTACATGATGCTCTTCAACAGTCGGGAGCGTCAGCGGGACTTTACGCGGTTCCGCGAAGACGTAGAGTGCTTAAGGCTGCCGCAGTTCGTTAATGTTCTGGATGAGGCCAGGATGCTGGCTGTGATCTACTTAAAGAGTTTCAGAGCCGCCTGGATAGACTACAGCGCATGGACCAACTCGCCGCCACAGAACAGTGGGATATACGATCAAGAGAACGGCGTCCTTCAAAAGTACCATCTGGACAACAAGCGTATATTCTTCACCCTTTACGCTCAGAACTTTTGCGAGTTTGGCAAGGATCTGGCCGAGCATGTGTTCTACCTGGGCCTTAAGCAGAATAAGGACTTTTTCGACATATACTCGTGCGGTTTCCAAACGGAAAACCCTATGACTTGTGTTTGATTGATCAAACTTTCTTACCTTTTTTTTAGTTTACGATATATGACAAGAGCTTAAAACCTGATACAAATGTGACATAAATGCATCCTTACACTTTTAAATAAAGTTCGCATTATAAATCTGTTCAGTAGTCGCGAGCTATTGCAAATTAAAACAAGAGTCTCCTCTATTATATACCCGGTTTCCCATTTTTCTGGCATACTAAATATAAATATAGATATAAATAAAGGGAAAGAGAATTAAATGAAAAAAATAATAAATGTTTCAAAAGTGGTTTTGGCAATAAGTTGTTTGGATAATCTGTAGAAATTTTCAAAATTAATTATTGTGGGCGTTAGAGTGGGCGTGGCAAAAATGTGTTTGGCGATTCGATAGAAATTTACAAAGCTAATAATAAAATGAAACAAATTCAACACATTTTTCAAAACTGTGGGCGTGGCAGCGTTGGTCGGATTGTGGGCGTTAGAGTGGGCGTGGCAAGCAAATTGTTAGCATACCGATGGAAATTTACAAGGCAAATACAAAACTTGCATGCTTAATCTCAAACTTTCTAGCTTTTATAGTTCCTGAGATCTCGACGTTCATACGGACGGACAGACGGACTTGGCCATTTCGAATGCGCTGTTACATCGAACTGTTACATCGACCTGTTACATACTTTTCGACAAGTCTTAGTATAACCCTTTACTCTACGAGTAAGGGATAAAATAAACGAAATTCGTTAATCCACCTTTCGTACCAATTTAACTATCTATAACGGCCTAAGTCATTTATTACCTTTCGTTGAATTTGTAATCATTTGAATACACCGAAGATAACTGTGGGGTTGTTTTAAACGATTTGCTCCATAAACCTTGAGATGAATGTCGTTATTGGAAAGCTGAATTAAAAGGTTTTAACTTATACTTAATCCTGAACCGTGCCAGAGCACGCCTCCTGAAACTTCTTCGGTGTGCCTTGTTATTGCATTTGGGCCTTTGTCCCTGCGTCTGAGGTCGCGACTGATTTCCCCAGCCTAAACTTTTGCACCTTGTCAAAGTAATCCTTTGCATCCTGTCTGTGATAAAGTTTCGCCAAGTCGGTGCAAGTTTTGCCAACACCATCCACAGCCTCCAAGTCTGCGCCGTGCGTAACAAGGACTTTGATGAGCTCCATGCCAGCGTTCATAACCACTACAAGCCAAAAGCGAATTAAGACTCGATTTAAGCAGTTTGCTTTTGCCATTTCTAGCCCCACCTGCGCGCATAAGAAGGGTCCAGCCGCAGAGGTCTCTGGCCTCTGCATTCGCTCCCGCTTCGAGACCGAACTTGACCATTTCCAGCTGATCTGCATCCACGGCGCAGTGGGCGGGAGTCATGCCGTTGCTGTCCGTTGCCTCCAGGCGGGCCTTCTTGTTCAGCAGAATGCGAGCGGATGGCTGGTGGCCGTAGTAGAAGGCCAGCTGCAAGGTTTAAAGCGTTAATAATTACTAAATACTGGTGATTTGGGCTGCAACGGTCACCAACGTGCAGAGGAGTGCGGCCGCTGGCCGGATTTCCGATGTGGACGCTGCAACCGGCCGAGAGCAGCAGGTCAATGATGCACATCTCGCCCTGAATAATGGCATTGGCAAGTGGCAGGAATCCGTTGGCAGCCGGATATTCCATCAGGCTCGGGCGTCGCCGCAGCATTCTTTTGACCAGGAATTGCTGCCCCTTTCTTATGGCTCGGCTTAGGCAGTGGGTTGATGGGAGTGCGGCCGCCGTGCAGGCCTACAGTTTTAGGATGACCCATGAATACAAATATAGGGTCAGATTCAATTAGCATTAAGTCAATTGATAGGATTGTAGTTATGGAATGGCAATTTCTCAGTAGAGATTAAGAAATAACCTTTTTGATGTGATCAACAAGTGCAAAATCCAAAACTTTAGGAACATTCTCGACCATTAGACTCATAAAACTTCCTTTAGCTACTTGTTCATTTTTTTTTTATCGCTCAAGTCAATTATTATTTCTTTAACGTTTTGTTCTGAGACTGATTTAGCTAATACTCCACATGCGGCAATTAAGGCTTAGCGAATGCTACCCAATCCCTATACTCGTGTATTTAAGTGGGTTTAATACCAATGTTAATATATTGAAAGTATTCAGTTGAAAATTCCAAAATTTATAACAAATATAATCAAGCAAGAGTGAACGTTACTGATACCCGTTACTCAGTTACTAGAAGGAGAGATAAGGAGAAAATTCAACATTTGGTTGTCATAGCAATAAAGCTGCTCAAAACAAAAATAGCAAAATCAAAATATATCCGAATATTTTGCAGTTTGTGGGCGTAAGATCGGGCGTGGCACATCGGCACATCGTGCTTATCGCGCTAAGAGACGTTTTGGATTAATGGAATATAATAACAGCAATTACGATTATTTCAGGAGAGATAGCCAAAGGCACATAACGACGTCCATCCTTAGAGACTTCCAGCGCCTTTACACGTAGTCGGTATCCGAAGTTTTCTTCCAAATTTGTAACAGTTATGGGAGAGCTGGCAGTCCAAGCCAACTGTAACCAGCCAAGTCGTATATGAAACTTATCTATACTGTAGACCGAGGCATTTTCAAACAAAGACCAATGAAGTTGAACGCTGTTGACTGTAGGACTGGAAACTCGCGACACAAAATTTGGCCACAAGAGTTCACACTCCTTCTGGTCCAATTTATTGGCCAGCTCATCCTCGCTTTGATTTGACTGGTTTTCAAACGTGCTGCACATCGGTCACCGCTGAGATGTTTGGACAAAAATCTTTCGCTAACCTTAGCGATAACAACGGGGCAACGCCATGGTTACCAAAAAATCGAACTCTATAGTCACTCCTCCCAATCATTTGTTATTTAATTAATGAGTTTGCTTTATTTTCATAAAATTTGTATAATATTTTGCTCAAAGCTAGCTTAAATGTAGTTTACAGAGATTAGATTTTAAGGCATCTTTACAACTGAAAAATTGTAACTATATTTAATATTACAATTTATTGGTTCAACATTTTAAAGCAAAGAAAAAGTGGTACAAAAACCCTTGAGCAGCTGAACTTAGAACTATATTATAACTAACTTATCAACTAAAGTGCCAAAACTTCAGTAAAACTAACTTGGGCTAGTGAGTGAAGGATCTACTCGCACTTGGTTGTGTATAATAGACGTTAATTTGAAATTAAATTTATTTTTGTTTCGTTTGATGATAACATCAATCGCTTTATATTTGCTTTATCGTGCAATTTACAAGTTGAAAAATAAAAGGGAAGATTGAGGATCATTTTTAAAATCTTATTTTGAGTTGTTTGCAATTTTTTAATATGAGTATGTGCACAATTTCCCCAAATCTCAGAACTGTAAAGAATAGTGGGTAGGAAAACTCGTTTGTAAATTAGTAATTTAATTTTAAAGGACAGCTTAGAGTTCCGATTTATAAACGGATATAATATGCGAATGCTCGTATTTATTTTGTCAACTGTTTTATTAATATTCCTTGAAGATAATCTTTTTATCAAGATGTATATAACAGAGTTTTCCCAAGGAATATTATTATTGTCAATTACAAGATCACAATTTGGTAAGAATTTAATAGCACGCTTTTTTGTAAAAAAATGGCATTTGTTATGCCAATATTTTCAGTTCATGAAATTAATACAACTTTGTTGGTCCATAACGGCGTTAAAACTAAATTTAAATACGAAGTCTAGTGTAAGATATTTATACCCGTCGCAGAGTAAAAGGGTATACTAGATTCGTTGAAAAGTATGTAATAGATAAGAGGAAGCGTTTCCGACTATATAAAGTATATATATTCCTGATCAGTATCAATATCCGAGTCGATCTGGCCATATCCGTCGCCTGTCCTTCCGTCTACGCTTCCGTAGGATCGTCTGTAGGTCCGTATGAATGTCTAGATATATTAGGAACTATAAAAAGTTAGTTAGTAGACGCAGAGGAAGTTGGTTTACTCAAGTTGCCACGCGCACTCTAACGTCTAATTTACTTGTATAAATTAGCTGTATCCACCCAAAGGGTTCGGTTTTTGTTGTTCAGAAACCATTCGAATTTTTCAGTGACCAGGCGACAATTCAACTGTCGCTAGCACCCAGCTCTTTTTTGTGTGTCCTGATTGGCAGATATTACACTAGTCAGCTAGTGGATCGCTAAACAAGACCTTGCTGCCCCGAAACAGAAACTATTGTTTCTTGTTCATAGAAGCATGTGTGCCGAGCTAACGAGCCTTTGAGATACGGTTTCACGTCGGCGACGATTCCGGAAATTTCCGCCAGAAGTTGTCTACCCTGCACAATGAGCCAACTCATCGACCGCCATGGAGGAACGGACGCCGAGCCACAGAGATAGGAGTATCTCGTTTTCAGCCGAGCCTCGGCTGACATGTCAAACACAAAGACCGGCACAAGCACATACGGAAAATTATCATTTGTCAAAATCACAACAAGAAACCGTTTTACATTTAGCCACTCCGAGCTAGACGCCCCAAAGCCTCCGCATTCTCCAGTTTAAGCCCGCACGCCGTCCTGCGGCAACAAGCTTGTGCTTTTGCCGGCCCGAACTGACAATGTCTGTGGCTGAAGTCGGGAGAAGTTGGGTTGTCATATTCTTCCTGAGTTTTCATTGATTGAAAACGACCGTACTAACCAGCAAGGAGCCAGGAACGAAGGGAGCCGGCCAGGACTCAGCACTAGCTGCTCTGGACCGCGATTTCGATATCATTATTTGTGACAGGGGCAATTTAAAATATGAAAAAGGAAAGCAATTGTCATATTCCTCGCCTATGCGCTGCAGATATTTTTAATAAGTACTTATACTTATACATTGAACATCATTCGCGGCGGCGGGGACAGTGAGCCAGCAATATTAGCATTTGAGCAGTAGGATGAGCAGTGTTTAGTCTTCCAGTCCGCTTACCAATCTTAGTATTGAATCGTTTTGAATGCATTGGAATTCGGTTGAGTGACCTAAGGCTGGCACATTGCAGACCAATAGTATTAAATATAACAAGATAGAATGCAATAGTCGAGTTCCCCAACTATCAGATACCCTTTACTAAGCTGCTGGAAGTGCGAACGGGAAAATGTATTATTTTCTGGAGTATCGGTAAGAATTGCGAATAAAATTTAGAAATGAAAAGGAAATTGTTCAAAATTGGGCGTGGCAGGTCAGAATCCCTTCTACCTGTAACATACTTTCAACGAATCTAGTATACGCTTTTACTCTACGAGTATCATACCCGTATGATAATCAAAAGTGGTCAAATAGACGATGAAGCAAACCCACGCCAGGTCCCTTGAATGAAATAAAACTGGTGAGGACTGTGCTGTGACGAGGCGGAATACCCAGGCAGGTGATTTAAAGCGAAATGGGTTTGATTTTAATCAAAATAATGGGCTCTGACACCGCATGATGACGCGTATGCTTTAATTAAATAATTGATATAAATTGCTCCCGGCTCTCCCACGCAAACACACGCAGGAATTACCTGTTCCGCCGCACTCAAGCTAATCCCGCAAGAGGAGGCCCACGCCGGAATCCCCGGCGGATTGACAAGCAATTCGGGCATTAGCTGCTATCAATCGGCTTCCTCTGGCTGGCGTGTAAAGCAAGGCCCACAAAGTAGATGATGCTTATATGCTGGGAAATTAGCGGAGGATAACCTGTCCCGGTTCCGCATCCGTGCAAGCTTTGTCCGCACATGGTGCACTTTGCTTATCGCAACACCAGACTGCGAGACTTACGTAAGCGTGCCAGTCCATACTGGTGAAACTTGGGAGAGGGATCTCCCCGTCTAGCATAAGGGAAAGTAGTTGGTAGCCAAAAATTTGGATGAAAGCTTTCGGCCAGCAAGCTTTCGGTTTGTTTGCGGGTCAACTGTCAAAACTGACAGCAGTGCTCTCTGCGTTGGGGGCTTTCTCCTCGTTCTCGGCGGCTGTTGGTGCCACAAGAGCTGCTGGCTACTAGCTAACCGATTTCGGCAGTTGATGTAGTTTCGGTCACAAGGAGCAGCACCACCCAGAGCGAACTTTTCGGTTTGTATACGGGCGACGTGGCGAGTGGCAATCAGTGCGACATTGCAGAGTGTCGCGTGCATTGGTGTGGGAAAAGTACCCAAGTCCTGTGGTTCTCGGTGACCGACTGTTAAGGTAAGCAGTGGATGAAATGGGCGAGACCCGCTAAGACTCCCCCATCCCGAACCACGCCAGCGGTATAATGGCCAGTGGCCCATTACCCCAGGCAGCAATGCCCCAGTGGCCAGGTCGTGACTATCATCCTAAGCAAGGAGCGTCGCCTTGTGGATCCAGAAGTAATAAGCAATTTGTGGTGGGAAAATTATCTCGCGCTGTGCAGCGAAGACTGGCCAGAATGGAATTGATTGGTATAAAGGCCAGGGGAGACGCCGAGAGAGGACGGGAGCTAACTCCCCATTCAGAACCAGTCCACCAAGCTGTCTGGCGGAATGCTACGAAATAATAATTGATTGAGCGGAAAACAATAAAGCCAACTAAGTCGGCGATGTTGGTTTGTACACTATCGGATCTGTGTCGCGCTAATTAAAAGTCTGGAGGATTCTTCTGCGCCCTGGGCAGTCGGACCTCCGTCGGAGCTCCGGTCCCGGCCTAGTCTTCGACTCGACCACAGTCCGATGTCGCACAGATGAGCGGACGTGGCCAGATCCCAGCAATTTCCTTCTTTTGCGCTCTGTGCTTCCGACCCCCTCATCCTGCCGCCCGGTCCGCTTAGTCCGCCCAGTCCCCCAGTTCGCCCAGCATGTACACACGAATGTGGGCAAGCAAACTGGAGTGGAGTGGGATGTGGAATGTGGTGCGACTGCTTTTGGTTCCGAGTGGTGATAATGACGCGTTGGCACAGCGTTGGCGAGCGTCTTATCAGTACGGCCTGGCCCGCTGCCAAAGTTACGGGAACACAAACACGACCACCGCGAATCAATATCGCGAATGCGCTCCTCGGCGCAGGCGCCAACTCCCAAATGTAGGCAGCGCTTTCGCTGCTGATTTCAAAGTCAAAAAGTCAAGAAAACGAGCCTGAGAAAGAGAGAGAGAGAGCAAGAGAGGGCGAAAGAGAGGGATAGAGAGTGATAGAGGGGGAGGGAATCGAATTATGTAACAGACAAAAAATAGCAGCAGATAAATGTATTAGAGAGAGGGCAGCGCGCTGGGCAGGGTACGGTCCTTCCAGTCCCTTCAGTCCCAGCGCTCCTGAAATCCTCAAGCGCTCTGCCTTTAAATGAACCCCACTACTGCTGTCCTTATCTTTGTGAGTGCCGTGGTGCTCGTTTCCTCTGGCCGAGCCGAGCGCAAAAGCACTCAAGCCCGAGCCCGAGCACGAGCACGAGCACGAGCCCGAAGAATTCCGAACGGGCCTAAAGCTCCGTCCCTCGGAGCCCGCTCTCTACTGGTTTTCGGGGCCGCAGCCGCGCGGTCGGCGCCGACGCCGCCGACGCCGCTGCCTCTGCCGACGCTCGCCAGGCACTCGCAGGCGGAACAGCGGCGACGAGCCGAGTTTTCCGAGTTCGCGAGTTTTCCGTGCAGGGTACTCTGGCAGTGGCGTGCAGAAGAGTGCGAACATAGCATGAAGTAAGAAGCGCCGAGAAAACATAGCGACGGCCTAGATGAAAAGTGGCAAGCAACGTAAAAGTATTAAGCACACACACACTGCCAGTGCGCACGGACACGCACAGCACACAAGCGCAGCCACACACCAACACACTAGAGCAAGTGCGTGTACATAGAGGGCTTGTGTGAGGCACATATGTGGCACACACACAGTCACCCTCGCGATTTCGATACTGGCGCACAGTGGTGGTATTTAAAAATCGACGAACGGCCCGAGCTCGAGAGCACGACTGAAAACCCAAATTGATTAAGCGAATTTGTTTTATCGAGCTAATTCAATTGCTCGGCCAGTTGACTGAGTGCTCCAGTGCGAGCGCAGCCTTATGTAATCGGAATCAGTGAAAAAAGCCAAAGGAATACGGCTCCAGCACCCGAGCCCAATCGAATTTGTTTGCTGCGCGTATTACGTAAAGTAAAATTCTGGTTTGCTTGTGCCACTCGCCCCCCCTCCCCTCCTCGAGCCCCTCCCCACCCAAATGGCACTTACGTGCACGCTCCCATAAAAGAAACCCTAATAAAGAAATATCAATAAAAGCAACAAAGCAAGTGGCACGCCAGCACAATAACGAAACATCGGTAACAATGCGACCCCTGGGGGTGTTGGTGTGTGTGTGTCTGCTATTTTTAAATTAGCGCCAGCCCAATGGTTCGGTTCGACCCGCCGAGCCCCTAAAGCCCGGGAACCGCGAACCGGGGACCGGAACCCTATACTCTGCAGCCCCAGAGCTCTGGACTGACCCCCTCCTGTGTCTCTGTTTGTCTTTCAGGAAGCCTATCCGCCTAATGCACTCTCTTCTCAGTGGATTTCCTTAGAACAAACACACTTTGCGCAGACTATTCGGAACTTTGCTCTTCAACAACCAAGTCCACGCACACACAGGAGTCTCCAAGGGAAATCCTAAAGGAATACTTGCCGAACTAAGTCCAGGTATGTGGGTGGTCCGCCAGCCCGAAAAGTGTCTAAAGTATGCTTGGCACTTTATGCCAAATATTTGTGCAAAGTTGTCGGTATCTTGCGCTTTTCACGCGTAAAATGCTGACGACTGCAGAAAGTTCCAAGCTCATTACACAATCGTTCCTCAAAATAAAGCAATGACTAACCAAAGTCTAATCGATCGCACTGCTTGGTCCGCAGAAAAGGGGGAACTCCGCGTATACGTGATATTTAGACGAGCCATTCTTTACACGCTACAGTCTACAGTCAAGCACAGCTTATTGGCTTTTTTGTATTTATTGGCTTTGACTTTCTGGTTGGTTCGCGTACTAGAAAATTCAAATGCAATTAGAGCCTTGAAATGTTTACTTGTTCAGTGATAGGAGAGTGTTCTCTTTTTGTTGTGCCACCCGACCAAAAATTCTAAACACGAATGCCATACGCTTTCGCTTCTAAACACATAAATTAAGTCAGGTACGTTCGTCCCAATTGCCCCAAATCTTGCCCAAATCACTTGCCCCATCTACTGCGGTGCTAGATGCTGTATCGTGGGATTAAGATGCATTTTTCCACTGCTCATGCTGGCCAATAAAATATTCAGCTGTTTGCTGCAGTATAACATTAATTAATTTTGTTTGGAGAAACAGGGGAATGAAGGCGTAGCCACCCACAGCGAAATTCTGACTTTAACTGACACCGTCCATTCGTCCACTTCGTCCACTTTATTTTCAAGCCTTGCCGCTTTCCAGAGCTGAGCTAATGGTTTTCATGGCAAACTAGTTTCGTTGCTCGTTTGCCGAAACAAGCTGCAGCCTCAGCTTAAGTTCGTTAGCCCAATTTGCGCAATTATTAATGCATGGGGCACAAAGGGCGTTGCAGACGCAGTCAGTAGCAAAAAGATAGCCCAGCGTCCCAGCCTGGGGCGTTGTAAAATGAAAAATTTGGGCTGGAATACACGTAGACTGCATTTATTACGGGATTATTGTACTCCGGACTAGGTTTCGAGTTATTAGATTTCCGAATTAAGTGCCCGCGAGCAATCTTCGGAGCTGAGACTCTGGCCAAGTCATAAAGTCATAAACTGGATGAGATCGGTTTCAAGTGACACGGCGCTTCAGCAGAGGGCTCAACTTAAGGCATTTAACTTAAGCGGCTTAAAGTCTCAGGCGAGCCCAGGTGACAGGGCACTCCTTTGTCCTGCCGCACACAAAATTAATTTGCTCTTTTCGTTTTGCTCTGTCGCTTCCAGCTTACCGACCAGGCAGGACTCAGGACCCAGCAACCGAGACCCAGGAGTGCATCGCATCGTGCGGAAGCGGAGGACCACAGCCAGGCGCAGCCACGCCCCTAGAGCCCCCAGAGCCACCAGAGCCACCAGAGCCACCAGAACCACCAGAACAACAGCCCAAAGATGGCGGCTTTCATAGCTAAGCAGATGGTTGGAAACCAATTAAGTGCCGTTAAAGGTAAGTCGCACCGGAAACAGCACCCCAGCATTTTATTTTGGTACTCGATCAATACACTTTGCTGTGGACGTGCGGGCATATATAATTCACTTTCAAGCTGCTGCGCAGCGACAAAATTAACACACATGAGAGCCACCGCTTCCAGATACACAACAAGGTCCTATCCAGTCCGCATCCGCATCCCCGCATCCCGCATCCGCATCTTCAACCCCGGCCAGGCGTTAGTCAAAGTCATTGGGTTCCCATTGAGGCTGCTGCTTAATCAGAGGCTGTGCAATCGCTCGGAAAATCATAGAATGCTTTCAGAAAGAGAAAAGAGCGAAGGCTAGGGCGAGAATAGTTAAGTTGAATGCTTATCATCCGATAGCATGCAACCCACTCTGAGCTGGGCCATTTACATAGAGCCATCCCCTGCCACTGTGCGCCCTGTGACATAATGTACCTCTTCTTTCCCGCCAGCAATCTCGTACAATTTGCAAGCTGGCTGCAGTGCCTCACCAGGACTTGCCCCTGCCCCATGCCCCATGCCCCATGCCCCATGCCCCATGCCGCAAGCCCCATCATCTGCAGCTGGGCTGGGCTGAGCAGAGCACTTTACCGGGGTCTTATCGAACGCAGAAATTCTGCACGAATGCCCCGGAAAGTGTTTCCGACAAATTGATACAGTTAATTGTGTAGATTGATGCTGAATATGTCACGCTCCTGTGCCCGGACTCCAGCCTCTTCCCCAGCCGGGGAAGAATTCAGAATCAGGGCCGGCGACTCAATCATTCCGTCGTCCCATTCGGCAGGCTGCCAGCTGGAACTCAGTTGGAGATTGCGGTCGGTGCGGTTAGCCATTACGCTGTCAAGGCTATCAAGGCTATCAAGGCTTTCGAGGCTTTCGAGGCTATTGAGGCTATCGAGGCTGTCAGGAAACACGAAAACGCTATTAGCATGGGCATAAAACTCGAAGAACCGAATCATATCTTGCACTTGTCGGGTCACCCATATGTCACTCATATGTGGACCAGCTACGAGGATACCAGACTCTAGGCACTCTGCCGTTCCGCAACTCGCTCCTATGGCGATAACTTTTTGCTCTCAATGATGCAGCAAATGCGTCTGAGTGATGAAGGCGAAATATAATAACCCATAAAACTCCTGCTCAGAATGGCGCGCAGCAATTGTTCAGCCATTTCGTGCTTAGGTCCTCAGGCCAGCATCGCATGTGAATTGTAGAGCGCTTTTCATTTTCCACACTTACCATGGTCACAAGGTGGCAGAAAGCCATGCCTGCTAATGTGTTTTCATTGTCAACTACTTGCACTCGCAGTCAGAAAATGTATTTGCGGCGCGTAAGCCCTTATAACTATTGCCTGTCTAACCTAAGAATAAGTAATGAATTGGCTATAGTCTTACTGTCCTGACTTCGCTTAGAGAAACAACCATTACGGGTTTTCAATTGTACTCTTAAAATAGTTTAACACAGTTAACACAGTCCCGATGAAAACTTAAGCTCATAGTGAAAGAATAATAATAGCACCCTTTTGAACTACATTAATACCACGTTCTCTTTTTCTTACAGGTAAGCGTTCAAACTGAATAACTCATATACAAAGTGCGTAAGTCATGGCACCTCCGCCGCCAATCTATTTGTTACACACTATTTAACATAGACATAAACTTGAAAACGTTTTTAAGCATACCTAAGCCGTAATTTAATCATTGGCAGTGCAGAGCATTGTGTATATGGCACTACCCATTTAGTTTAAAGTTCATCGCTTCTGTTTCAGTTTTGAATGGAGACTAGGTTGTATTTATTGGCAACAGCATGACTATACGGTTTAAATTTATGACTAGATTAACCCAGCCCCGTTCAAGAATGAAAATTTAACAATTTTCAGCATAAAAGTGTTTTAAAACTGTTGTACCTAAGCTTAGTCTTGCACTACCCATACCAAAGCCCTTTTTTGTTCCAACTTTGCAATAATGGCACATAATATGGATAATCAATAAATCACAGATAAATTTGTACATGAGAATATACATATATATGTATATATGTATTCATATATACGAGTATATGTATAAATCCACTTAAGATACTAAAATATTCTAAAGTACACATTTTATTGTACGAATAATTATCAGGGCTGTGAAACATTCTGGTTTAAAGAACATTTGACAAAACAAACCATAAATCGGGCGATTTTAAGTAGGTTTTCTCGGTTTAAGAAAAACAAGGAAAAACGGTGTAGTCCATTTCCCCGACTATCAAATAGCGGTTACTGGGATTGCTGCTACAGTTTATTGGCATACGGAAAGCATTTGGCAAAAAAATATAAATAAAAACAAGAGAGAACGCTATAGTCAAGGTCCTTCTTCTTAATAAAATTAAAAAACTTAAAAACAAACGCTTCCTTCAGCCTGTTACATACTTTTCAACGAATCTAGTTAGTCTACGAGAAACGAGTATAATGAAAAAAGTGTAAAATTTTTTTCAAGGTTTTTGGGCGTTAGAGTAGGCGTGGCAAAAAGCTTTTAGGCAAATCTAACGAAATTTACAAGACTAATAAAAAATGAAAAAAAATCTAAACATTTTTCAAATGTGTGGGCGTCACAGTTTTGGGCGGCTTGTCTGCGCTAAAGTGGGCGTGACAAACATTTTTATGTTTGACTATATATAGAAATTACTAGATAGAAATTTACTAGACTAATAAACATATGGAAAAAGATCTAAGAGTTTTCAAAAGTGTAGGCATTACAGTGTGGGTGTTGAGTGGGCAAATCGATAGAAATTTATAAGACTACAAAGCATATGGAAAAATATAAAAAAAAAAAATTCAAATGTGTGGGTGTGGCAATTATGGGCGGATTCTCAACTTTCTATCTTCTATAGTTCATGATATCTCTAAAGTTTTTTTAGCCCTGGTACGAAGGATTGGTTTACAAACCGAAACTTTATGAATCGTTAAAGTTCAAACTCCGAAAAAAAGCACAATGACATGGGTTCACAGCCCTGATAATAAAATAATTGAAATTGCCAAAATAAATCTTCCGGGACATTATTAATAATAATAATAATATAATAAGCGATAGCTTAATTATTATGTTCATTCCCAAGCCCTAAGCCATCAAATCCTAAATATTAATATAATGTTTGAGCAATTATTAAACTTTGACATTTGACAAGTCCATACCGTCAGCTTTGCTACTTACCTCGACATATTCCTGTCCCGATATAATAATGTGATGGTAATTTATATAACCTAAGTACATATCATAAGAAAAATCCTGACGAAAGCAGTTCCTCGCAGATACACACCAAAACAAAAAATAATGAAATATATTTGTTCATTCCTACAATGCCTTCACAGCCGAACTTTACCTCATTGTAAAACACTCGAACACAATAGCTTGACAAACACACCCAGCCAAGCACACAGAAGGAGTCCCAAGTGCACAGCAATCTGCGGAATAGCTCTGCTTTCCTCGCCACCCTGCCCACCCTCCCCACATCCTGCCCAGCTCTACTCCCATCCTCGTACTGACCCACCCCCCACCTTTCCCACCACCTTACCCAAACAACAAAAGCCCACAACGAACACACCTGCCATCGCACCAATAAAACATACAGAGAACACAAATCCATTTCTTCTATTACAATTTCTTCCTGACGAGCAACCCTCGTCTCTATTTCGCTCCTCGTTTAGTACTTGCGTATTAACATGAATGCCACGCCCAAGCAAACCCGATTCCAGAGTAATATGACCCCCATCTTCGCTATGAAGATGGGAGCCCGAAAGAACGATCGAGATATATTAAATCAGAATCCCCGGCAACAACTCCCCTAATCCCGCCATGCTGCCTCTCACGAATCTTAGTATTCCCAGCAACTTTTTATGCATATTCCACACCTTCTTTTATTTTCCATACTACTATCTAATTACACACAACCTGCAACTTCGAATTTTAGCCCATAAAGCCATAAAGTAATCCACAACAGAAAGTCTAATACTAATTAAACTTTTCCTCTACTTCCCCGACCACACGCTCGACAGATGCTGCAGGCGGTAATTTCTCTACTTACCTTTTGTTTTATTTACTATGTCCATGAATATGTATTGTATGCCTTGATGCCATCACAGCATCCACCATATATATTGGAGCTGCATTCCATTTGAATCAATAATCAGTAATCAGTAATCAGTAATCAGTAATCAGTAATCGATGACATCATATAATCAGTATCAATATCAATATGAATATCCGAAATTGCAATTAACACCAGCCTATCATCAGTTTACCGGGGCTCATCCCCAGAAATTATGATATATTTTTCGATTCAGATTATTCGATTATAGTTAGCAACGCAACCATAGATACTTTTTGCAAACGCATGTCTTGGGGATTGATTTTGTATCAACTATATACTTTAATCGATACTTTTAATCGAGAGAGTCAAAACTTTCCGAATTTACGCGAAAGCGACTCGGCTACTTGCAACTTGATTCGACAGCAAATTGAAACTCTGACTTATTAGTTTGACCCAAAAGATGGCAACTCACCGACAGTTATCACAATTACCGCACATTTTGATTTTGTTCGGTTAAACACGCCAAGTACACGGTCAATTCAAGAACTGTAGTCTAGAATTGACTATACCTAGCATTGCATTAGTTTCTCTCGAATTATTTTTTAATTATTATTATTAGTTTATATCGAATATACTCTTGGAGACGTTACACCCGAACTTTTGGTTTCTGCGATAATTGTTTTGTTAAATCTTTTTTATCTACTTTTTCTACTACTACTCTACAATCGAACTACTTCATCTACTGCTATGTACTACTTTAACCAATATGGAACCCTACTAACTACAAAACTACTTACATCTTCTACTACTCTACTATAACTCCTCTAATTACAACTCAACTACAACCCAAATACTTCGAATTTACAATGAGGTAAAGTATAAGAATAAATAATCTACTAAAATAGCATAACAGTTTGTTCTTTAAAGCAACAGAGACAAAAAATAATAAACAAACAGCACACAAAACAAAATATACTCCAAGATATACACATGCGAACCTGTATGTAACCGTTAGATATCTATAAAAATCCCTTTCGAGAGAAACCCATTCTCGTCGCTCGCTTATCCATTCCGAAGCAGGCATTTTGACACATACTGAGTATTACCTATTCCCAGGAACCGCAGGATAGCACCTGGCTAATCTCGTCGTCTTATTAAGTCTTTGCAACCAAGCAGTCTTGTCGAATTTCAAGTGTCTGCAGCACGTGTATCGATTATGATGTTTTACAGAATTTCCCTCAGTCGACTTCGATCCAAATTCCCAGAGCTCCGCGGGGATGCATTTGAATGAGGAAGGGCCGGGATGCCAATATAGATCCGGGCTCGGCGTAAATTATGTATATTAAAAATTCCTCAAATTTCCCGAGCTGAGTACGGACCAAAATATTTGCATGCGGCTGACCAGCCTTCAGTCCACGCGATGTTGACAAATTTTGCCGTTTGTGGCACGACGTCGCATTCCGGACGAGCCTGGCAAGGGACCCTGAGTGGATGTGGAAGGGCAAATGCTTCCACGAATGCGGATGAGGCACACAACTAATTGCTGCAATTATGACAAAAGCGTGTAGTCGTGTGCAGGCGGCGAAATGCGAAATGCGAGATGCTGCGTCCTGGCCAAGAGCCCTAAGCGCCTTCAGCCAAGATGGTCGGAACAGTCAAATGCGCATTGGCGACGTAATTTCAACACTTGCACACGCCCCTGTCCTTTAGTTAGGCACCCCATCCGTCCCAGCCATGTGCCCAGCCATAAGTAAATATCGGGTCATTTGGGACTGTTAAATAAACTATAATTTATCTGAATGTGCCAGTTGCTATCAGCGACTTTGACAATGGAAGCAAAGGCAGAGGGCGCGCGCTACCTTCCTGAGCGATTAAGTCGGCGTCGCCTCAGAAGCCGCACGAGCTGGGATTCCGAATCAACCCCGCCGCTTCCGGTTCCTGTCTTTGACCCAGATGCGTGCCAGGCAGTGGCGGCTCTCAGCTCCAGCTCCAGCTCCAGCTGAACCCCGCTCGGCGGGCTTGAACGGGATTAAGCGGGAAAATAATTTGCTGTTCGTGCCATTTCAGCAACTGCTTGCCGAGAAGGCAGCACATAATCACGCAGCCGTGACAAAGGGAGCAAGGGTGGGCCAGTCGGAAAATACTTGAACCAAATGGGGCAGTTCCCCTACACACACCGGGGTGTGTATGCGGATGGGTGGTCTGTGTCACAATGAAAATGGAAATGGAAATGGAACTGTAATGTAGTTTTCCCCCGCGAGCGGGCATTAAGTCGAATAAGTGTCACTTGGACCAGTGTATCCGCCGCACATCTTTCGGCACATCATTGCATCCGCTTCGGCTGGGGCTTAGCCCTCTACTTATGGTGCTGCGGATAGGACGTGTTACGCTGGCTCCGTGGGTCCGCTTTGTGCCCAGCCGCGTTCCATTTGCGGCCAAATTTCTCCACGTCCTCATCATCGGGTTTCGCTGACGTGTTGGTATTCAAAACAGCAGTCAAAGCAATAAGGCGCACTTTGGCGTTTATCCCTGTGATTCAGATCGTATATCAGACTTATGACTTCTGCTCAACATTTTCCGACTCACGAACGAACCATTTTCCCCGCGTTTTGCTGGCGCTGGTAAGGCCTAGCTCCGGCCCAATATTCACTTCACTTCTCCTCGTGGCGGATAGTTATTAAGTACCCTCATTTCGCCCTTGACACGCAGCAAAAGCTTTTAACGGCAAGAAGTGAAATGGTTGCAGGCGAGAAAAGAAACCTCAAGAGCCAACAACCAATTTATATCTTTCGGGCTGTCCGGAGCATTTCTCATGCAAATTGAAGGCTTCCGCCGCCTTAAAGGGTCATCAATGGCCCTCGCTAACGGGTTGTCCATTTCCATTAGTGGGGAGCAGCAATAGGAAGTGGATAAAATGGAGGTCCAGGAATGCCCAGCCAGTGCGTCTTGCTCCGGGGGTGTTAATTATGTTGGCATGATAACTGCATTACAATAGGCTTGATTAGTTTTTAATTGAATTGTGCACTTATTCAGGGGCCATCTTGAATGTGCAACTGGAGTCGAGCTTAAAGGGCTTTTGCCATTAGCTCTCAGGACCAAGTTGTGTCCGTAGCAGGCACATTCCCCATCGTTTTTGCGACGGGTGGGCACCCACAGTGATTGGCACCCACAAAGCGAGACGGGCAAACTACGGCCAAACTACGGGCGAAAAATCCCATAAAGCTCTGCTCCTGCCTCCTGAATCTGTTCGGCCATTTGACACCATTTCACAAATCAATTTTGTTTTAAAATGCGTTGACTAATTTATGAAAACAATAAATGCGTCTGCAAATCAAGTCACAGTCACCCCAATAAGTTTATTCACAAAGCTATTCAGTAAATTGATGACAATAAATTCAATTTAATGTGCGATGCCTTTTGCACCCACCAAGACAAAGAGCGAAGCCGATTGTGGTCATTCGTCATCCCCCGACGACCTTACCCATCCGCCCCATGCGCCCAAAATCTGCTCAGGAGCAGTGAGCGTCCACTGCGCGATTCTGCGCCTTCGGAGATAATGCGTCTCTGTCGCCCCATAGGGGTTGCCATCAGAGCGGGCAGAGAAGATGCCAGGCTGCTCTTATAAGCAGAGCAACCAGCAACCAGGACCAGCGTGGCGCCACAATCCGAGCCGAGCCGGGACTCAATCCGCGGGGACCTGCGCAGGCGCCGGAGCTCGGGTCTTGGCCAGCGCCGACTGCGACGCGGCAGAGGCAGCCCGTGCGGCGCCATGGCATAAAAGGCCGGAGCAGGACTAGTAGCACTCCTACTCCGGGCTCGCACTTCTGCAGCTGAAGTTCGCTGTTTTGTGCGCCTGTCCGCCGTCCGCCGTCCGCCGACCGCCGTCCGCCTGTCAAGACTTTTCCTGCACTCAGTTAGCAGGCACTGGTGGTCGCGTTTGCACTGCACTTCGGGCAGCCGTTTCGAATCGATTAGGATGAGCATGTCGGCGCTGCGCCCGAGCCAGTGGGTCGGAGATGGTGCAGCTCCTGGCTGACAGCGAGTCCAGTAGTGCCAGCGTCGGCTGAGGCAACGGTTGCATCCACTCGGGACGGAAGCGAAGACAGAAGGCCCCACGACGGACAGATAGCAGTGGTCCAGAGCGCACTGAAATCATGAATTTCATTGGTATGAAGCCCAACTCAAGTTTCTGTCCAGTCTGCCTCTCAACACTGCCTTTCGATTTCCGGCGGCGGACGCACTGAATTCGTCTTCTTCCCCCTCTACAACACACTGCCACCACTCAACCACTGAACCACTCAACCAACTACTAAACTACTACTACTCAACTCGCCACAACACACTAACGCTGTCACTCTGACCGAATCCGTGTTCCATGTAAGTCTTTGCAAGTGAACGGCGAATTGTTTATTTTACCCGTAACGGAACCAACCCGTAAGCATATGGTAATCCATGCAACTGTGCAAAGTGGGACGGGAAAAATCAATCGATTGGGGGTTGCTCGCGGTCGTAGAAGCCCTCCAGTGGTTGCAGGCAAGGCTCATCGATTTTTAACACCACCGGTGGCGTGGCAGCTCAAAGCAGCTCAAAGTTCAAGGTCCGGCCCTAGAACGGATTGCAGCGCTGGTGCTGCGGGTAGAGGCCATCTCCGGGACGGCACTTAAAGGCCTCCAGGAACTCCGGCGAGTTGCGCAGTGTGGCGTGAGTCAGCTGCCTCTTGCGGTCCTGCTGCAGGACGCCCAGCTCGGAGCGGCAGTCCACGAGCAGGCTGGTAATGAAAAAGAGCCTCCGTAGAGACATCTTAGAGCGCCCGGCGGCCAGAAGCGCGTCGACTCTCTCCTCCAGTCCCGTCCGGCTGGCCATCCACTGGCCGTATCCACTTAGCGCCTGTCTTTGGGCGAGCAGGCCCAGCAGTAGATCGATGGCGTTCGTCTGTCCGCCCACACACTCCTGGAAGATGCCAAAGCGCCGCTCGGAGTCCGAGCTCAGCCAGGCTCCTGGCGTGCGGGAGCTGCTGCCTGCAGCCACCAGGCTGCGCGAGAAGAACTCCCCCAGTAGCAGGTAGTTGAGCGGCGCGCTCAGGTTGTGCTGCTCTGGGAACGCATTGACTGTAGCGAATACCTGGGCGTAGCGACGCACCTGCTGGGCGGACTGGGAGGTCGATCGTCGCGGCAGCTGAAACTTGCGCAGCTTTTCCAGGTTGCGGTACAGACTCCGCCGACCCAGCAAGATGGAGTGGTATGCCGCGTCCAAGCGCTCGTCTCCATTCAGGGTAATGTGCATAATAGTACCCAGAAACTGTCTGGAGCTCTGCCGCGAGATCTCATCGATCCAAACACTGCTGCCCAGCTGGTCTGTGAAGGCCTTGCCCAGCGCCGAGTACATGTTGGCTAGTTCGACGCGATTTGCCGTAACGCGCTGTTTCACGTGGGCGTAAAGGTCCCCGGCATAGTTCTCCGCCAACTGGTGGCAGTCTGCATCCACGATATCTAGTAAAGGAAGGGAAACAAATGGTATAGAGTTTTCTAAAACTTCTTCAAGAGTTTAGGGTCATTTTAAAGCTTAAAATCATTTAATAGCTTACTAAACTGGTAAATTTAGTTACAAAGAAAAGGTCGGACAGAACACAGAAATCTACAAGATATAATGCTATGGTCGAGTTCCCCGACTATCAGATACCCGTTACTCAGCTAGTGGGCGTGGTAAAAAGTTTTTTTGGCAAATCTATAGAAATTTTCAAGATTTATAAAAAAGTACAAAAGTATCACATTTTTCAAAAGTGTGGGCGTAACAGTTTAAGCTGCATGCCTAATCTCAACATTCTAGCTTTTGTAGCTCCTGAGATCGAGGCGTTCATACGGACAGACGAACGGACAGACGGACATGGCCAGATCGACTCGGCTATATACTTTATATGGTCGTAAGCGCTTCCATCTGCCTGTTGCATACTTTTCAACGAATCTAGTATACCCTTTAACTCTAAGAGTAACGGGTATAATGGGTTCAAAGTGTTTTCAACATATGCTCAGAAATATTCAAAGAAAAAATGTCGTATATCGGAAGAGGTTCAATAAACTTCGCGAATGAAAGTATAAAATTCATCCAAGTGCTATAGGACACTTATCAGGAATATGTGCAAACAGTAGTGCGAAATTGCTGTATAATTGAAGGCGGATAGAATAGTAGACTCACCCATCAAGTAGTCTGTCCAGATCCAATTCAGGAGCCGAACCATGCTCGTGTTCTGGAGCAGCGCGAAGTACTCAACCAGTCTGGGCAGTTGTTTGACCACAATAGTGTCGCTGGCCTGAGGCGTCTTGCCGCCCAGTAACTTGCGGAAGTAGCCATCCCAGTCCAGTCTGGTCAGCGAGGCGTTTCCGAAGACGCTGCGCTTAAAGTTCCCGTAGCTAAACTCCACTTGATCCTCGATGTGCTCCGCCTTCATAATGTCCCGACTATTGCGCTCCAAGCTGAGTACTTCGAGGGCGGTCACGTGGGCGCGGCTCTGTTCGATCCCGAAGCTCTGCAGGACTTCACCCACCCGCTGCTCGAATTTCCTCAAAGTGTTGCGGCGTGTGCAGTCGGGTTGCAGTACCACCAGACGCTTGTTCGACTGCATGGTGACCGAGGTCTTGAAGAAGTAGGGCGCACCCACTTCGTGGAAGTATCCAAGAACTCCCAGCCAGCTTTGGTTGGCTTGCTGACTGAAATTCGCCTTGTTCGGATCCAGGGCAGGCCAGCCCCCCGTCTGCCTGAACAACTGAGATCCCTTAAGCGCCTCCACTCCACGTCCGCTCTCGCAGGACTTGAAGAAGTTGATCAGCTGAAGCTCCATGTCCATCAGCTGCGCGACGTCCGTCTCCTTAAGCAAGCTCTGGAACCGGTGCCTGCCCGTCTCGCTGAGGTTGGCGCTGTGCGAGCAGACATAACCGTAGAAGTCCTGGCACGGCTGCTTGCTGGTGTCAAGATACTGCTCTAGGTTGCGGGAAAAGCTCAGTAGATCGGTTTCTACCCTGACCAGATCATCCTGGCCGCAGGCGATGCCAGCTATCCACAGGATAGTCAACGCTTTCGAAATCATTTCCTCCTGCGTGCTGATTCTGTAGTCGCTCGAATTGAAATGAGGCCGACGGCATTTGCCGTTTGTAGCGGAGGTAGTGGGCCTTGTTTTCTTCTTGGAGGTCAACAGCAAAGGTCGCTCTTAATGCCTCGGCCCACTTCCGTGCTTCTGATTTCAGACTGCGGCTCAGACACACTAAATCCAAACTAATCGCTTTCCCATTTATTTTCCCTGTCAGTGGTAGTGGTGCTAAAATAAAAATGTAAATCACTCGAAGTGATAACCCGCGAGGCGATAACGAGTCAAGCTGAAAGACAAGCTCTTAATCATATGTGTCAAAATGTAGGGGCTTGGATGCGAACTAAAATTGGTCACGGCCGATTTTGAGTAAATTAAAAACCATACTCAATGTTGATACTGTATAGTCGGTCGAGCTTTTAAACACAGAGTTAAATCTCATAGTAACTCTTACACCCCGTTACTTACACAGGCGCTGTAGGAGGTGATGGAGGCGATGATGGCGACGACAAGGAAAAGGCAGAGGAGGAGGAGAGGGAGCGTCAGGAGGCCATCAAGGAGGCCGAGGACCGGCGCAAGGAAAAACACCGAAAAATGGAGGAGGAGCGCGAGAAGATGAGGCAAGACATTCGCGATAAGGTAAGTATCCGGGGTTTTGGAGGTCTTCGCAATCACAGTGAAAAAGCCATACATTACGCGCCTTGAAGTGGCGGAACCAGTCCTGGTGAAGCTCAAATTGACTCTAGTAGGGAGTCCTTCCATAAGCGACTCCCTAACGGAGTCAGATTGAGCTACAAAGGAGCGAGACAACACAGGTGCACTTAAAAAGGTGTTAGCCGTTAAGATACCAGACCTCTAGCCAAGCCCAGCGGTCTAATCAACCTGTTGATCTACCGACTTCACATTAACCATTCAGTACAACATCAAGAAGAAGGAGGAGATCGTGGAGGCGGCCCCACAAGAAGAGCCGAACCCCCTGATGCGGAAAAAGAAGACGCCCGAGGAACTCGCTGCTGAGGCAGAGCAGGAAGAGCTAGACGATTTTACAAGTAAGTTTTTGCTGCCGCTTTCAAATGCCGTTGAACCTAGCCCAGCTAGAGGCATCTATATACTGCAATTCCAACCCACCAATTGCTCCGCTCCGATTGCTCCTGCTCCTATTCTGTAACTGTATTAGATTTTCAGTTGTAATTTTTGGTTTCCTAATACTTTGCCAAAGGCTTACGCGAGCCTCGGCAGGTCCAGACAATACCTATACAAGTTGATTTACTACTACAACTAAAACCAGAACAAAAACCGTTTAATACCAGCTAAATATTCTACGGCGCTCGAAAGTAGTAATTGTTTGTGCATCTGTGTGTCTCTCGTATCTAAATGCAATCGAACAACCCAACTAAACTATGAATAACTGCCCACTAACCAAACTATCTATCTCTCTCTATATATATGTATGTACTATTTTCCATGTGCGTATAACATCTAAGCTACAAATGCTAACTGCAACCCTATCTGTCTAAGATCTAATCTTCAACCGTAATGCAACGACGAATATAAACATTTCCAATTATACTTTCATATAACAAGAGTGCACACCATTCACATACTTCATTTTATTCAGTTTTCAAACTTGTGTTACGTGAATACTTAATAATTTGTAAGTGAGAATGACCCCGAGAAATCTAGGCAGCATTTAAAAAAAAAGTGGATGCATAATTTATGTTTTCTTTACAACTTTAATTGTATTTGTTGTTTAATATAAATTGTGGGTAAACATTGAAATAAGTTAATCGGTATTAGCAGACGGATTAATTGTGCTTAGGTATTATGCTATTCAATCAATTAGAAAAAGGTAAGTGCGATTATTGGTAAAAACATTTGTTTCCCTTATGTGTGGTAATACTGTTTGTATTCAAGAACTACTCTTCAGCCCACAACATCATTAACAATTACAATTTTCGACTACTCTCGCTCTATTTTTACTGCCGCTTATTCTCTGTAAATGTATCTTTAATATACCAAGCATAAAATACCTCTACTACAAAACTAAGTAATAAAACAAGGAAATATTTCAAACCGAATACATGATTTATGTTAGACAACAGGTTAGGGGAACAATTACATACCACCGTTTTTATTTATATAATCTTAAACGTCATTCTCACTCCATGCACTTTACAGCACTAATAGCCCCTATTTTATACATATTAATACAAGCACTAACAGAATCTTGTGCTTGTGTGCTAAACCGCATTTTAAAACTGAACACTCATAACAATATAAATGTAACTGAAAAAAAACTAAAAAATATATATACGATAAATGGACGAGCAACAATTATAAAACTTTTTTCCTGTTGTCTACTCTTTCCCTTCAATATGTGTGCTATATGTATTTAACATACTTTATAAAACGTATGTAAAATATATATAACGCCCATATACTGCCTATGTATGTGTATTTCTTCGCACCGAGTTCTATAACCATGTCTTTATTTCTCTATCAATCTACTAGACATCTATATACCCAAAACTATAACTGTAACTTTCGTTAGATGTATATCTGACTCTACTGAACACGATCTACAATACAGAACACGACTTTTCTGCTAGTAATTGCTTTTTTGTTATTTGTATTTGAACGATACCATTCCTGAAGCTGAAATGCGACTTACATAACAGTTACAGCTACAGTAGAACAGTTACTGTACATGAGCATCCATGAATACATATACATACCAGTTAACATGTCAAACATTTGTAGTCTACTCTACAAAATATGCTTATTTATTGCTGTTTCCATACTCAATTTCTTTTACAGAACTGAAAAATCAAATAGAAACGCAAGTAAATGAGCTAAAAACTCAAATAGAGGGAAAATGTGTCATGCAGTGATATGTCAGTCACCATAATAACAGATAAATAAAAATTATGATAAAATACAAATAATACTGATAACATAGCCCATCAATGGCAATTGATTTAACTCGACTTGAAATTTAATTTGTTAATATGAGATCAGTTAAGTTACATGGGAACCATAAACAGAACGATTTAAAACTACTGCGAATCTAGAGCCTAATAAAACTTTACCCGGCAGCAACATAACGCCTCTTAAACACAACATCCCAAAATCGCTGACAGCTATAATTCGAAATGAAGCAGTTTGCAAAAATCCGAACAAGACGGTGAACTCCTAATAAATTTTAAAGTAGCTAAATCGTAAACCAAATCATTTAAAGCCCAACTATAGTGAAAGCCTTTAATAATATTAAAATCACTTTGCTTCGATAATAATGTAATTTACTCAAACCCAATATACAATACATAATCGTTGTTTAGTTGATATAAAAAGTAACGATCTAATGAATATATCGAATCGGCACGATGACACTCGAATGCAAACAGAAACAAATAATACATAACATAAAACAAAAATACCAATCCTCAAAAATATTAAGCCAATGGTGCGACAGAGGAGGCTACCGAGTTATGTCTAACCGTCGAAGTACATATGTTGCTGAAATCACACTGGACTTGAAATCCATCTATAAGTATAGATATATTATAAAATAAATCGGCGAATATGTTAAAATTGCTATTCAATTATATATATATAAATATATATATATGTATATATACACCCGTTGTGTATATATGTAAATTTCAATAATTTTACTAGGAGTAATAATACTTGCAAACGAATTGACTGCAGATACATTGAAATGGCTGATTCTCTAAATTGTTTACCCTAACCAAGAAAAAGGTTACATATAAATGAAAAAGATTCAGTCAATTTGTTTTTCAAAGTTTGAGTCGAACATCTTTAACAGCTGTTACATTTTGTTTCTTTCTTATACAAACATCATACCTACACAACAACAATTGAGAATTTCGAACTTTTTGAGACAGTTAATGATCTCTCTCTGATTGATGCTTCTGAAATGTAAGTAAATAAGTTTACTATATTCCTTTACATAAACCTACATCTGCAAAAAAAAAAGAATAAACAATGCCAGGCTTAAGTTTATTTTTTTATTCTTGTGTACTCATAGTGGTTAGGATTTAGTTAAGTTACGGCTATTCCATAGAAAATATTATACAACAATATATAACTAAAATTTTTAGCAGTAGTCATTTAGACAAGGACAATAGCTTATAAGAGATGCTAGGCAATTCGAGAGCATAATGCTGTGATACATTTAGCATACATTTTTCACCCAAAAATCACTAGCCTCCAAACGACCTCCAGAACCCCAGGATCTTAAAAGACAGAACAAAAAACATGCATGCAAAAGGCCACAAAAACAACGACAACAACGCGTATGACATATGTATATAAGCCTTTCCAACGCCAGTACCAGATATGCCGATCGTCCAAAGCATCCACTTGTGGAGGACACACTCGCTTACATGCTGAATCCCACATAACCTTACATTTTTGCACAGAGAGTCCTTTCAATGCCAACAATAAAATATATACTTGTCCTATACATATACCTATACATAAACCTATGCGGCAGTTCGCAGAGATTTTCGAAGGTACAGATCGCATTTCATATGCATGGATGTACGTATGGATGTACAGATCGAAGCTATCGAGGATGGGCATTCCATCGTGAAGTGGACTTCGGTTTGCATGCGGTTTATGACATGAGCGAGTCGAGAATGTGTTCTGTCTCAAAACTCTTCCATACTTATATCATATCACCCATACGCACATGTGTGTACAGAATGTGCCACGATTTGAACAATGGCCTCCCTGACTGTGCAATCATATTGTAGACCGTTCAGATTTAAGCCACAAAATAATAAGTTTAGATGATGCAATCTTGCATCTTAATGTAATATTGCAGTCGGAAGGGACATTTGTGCTACGGGTAAGCACACAAAGCCTAGCAGTTGACTTTTTGTTTGTTATGTTGAACTGAATTAAACTAAATATACAATTGATAATAAATGTTTTAACCACACTGCATTCTATATATATATATATATATATCTCTTTCTCTTTCTATGTTGTCTCTCTCTCTTTCTCTCTTTCTCTTCTTTGGTTTTAAAACACTCTTTTAAATCTTTAATCTACGCCACTCCACTCTGCCTCAAAACCAATATCTGAAAACAACCTGTACAACATTTGCAAAACACGATACAACAACAATATCAACTATTACAACATCAACAACAATTCTACCAATTCTTCACAACTACGACTTGATGGTCCCACTTAGACATGTTCTCTCGGTGTTTTATAAGTATCATCAACAACAGCCAGAACAACAGCACAAGAAAACGCCTACAGCCAGTACAAGAACAACATCAACAACAACATCAACTACAGAAGTATCCAATTATGTATTATAAGAGATGAACAAACAATAGAAGAAAACAACAAGCTACATGAACAACAGCATCAACTAAACAAGATCATTGCAATTTGCAGGCCCGCATTTCCTACCTTATTTCTGAACGTTGTGAATAAATTTGGATATGGTTTACCAACTATGCCAAACCAAACACGCTCATATACCTTTCCATACATGGTCACTAATCACCAGCATTTTAATGGCTATATGGTGTTGTAAAAGCTTTAAATTATGTTCAGATCCAGTAAATAGCAACGAAATATCCATAAATGTGTACAATTTCAATGAGAAGTCGCTTAAATAAAGAAGCTAAATGTCTCTTTCTGTATCCACAATAGACAGATAACATCCAAATCCCAAAAAAAGAGTTTCGAAGTATCAGTTAAATCTTCATGCCAGAATTCTTCTACCAATTCTCAACATCATGTTTTTACAAGTCGGTGGGACAGCGATAAAGCAACAAGGCTTAACGCCCTTCTCTGTCAACCTAATAAAGCAATCCTCTAGTGCCCCCTCGCTCCATACAAAGTTAGGAACGATCAAACTAATGAATGAATGCCTTAACGTGGCTCAAATGACTAGACCATGAGTAGCGAATAGATGATGATAAGAAAAATTTATTCTACCCTAAGGAAGTATCATGCAATCCCTTGCTTTGTTTACCTAACGTCTGTTACTGAACCTTCACCCAAAAATGTATCTTAGCTATGATCATTTTTAACTTGAATCTTAAAGTCTATAAAGTAACCGTTTTTCAAATACTTATAGAAAATGTGTACCTAGATTCTACTATATGAATTGCGTTTTGTCTCAGATATTTATATACGATTGAAGGCCACTTTAATTGTTTAATATATTGAATAAAGACATAATTAAATCCAACACAAACTAATTAAAACATACTATTCAATCTTAACCAAGTTTTAACGTTATCATAAATGTTTAAAGTGTTAAATGGTTCAGCCGCTTTTGTTTTCATGTATAATTTCTTATTATTATGTTACCGTTCAAAAATATAGTATTGAAAATGTAATTATATGTATATCAGAACGTTCACGAAACAACGGATTATTAAACATAAATATCTATCTCTATATATATATATATTTAGGTAAATATATATATAGATATATATATATATATAGATATCTATATATATATATGTATATGTGTGTATATGTGTAACTTAATAGGAAAATGAATTTAATAGAGAAACAACAGACAAAAATTATGAATAATAATGTTGAAAAGAATACCATTCAAGTCATTATTAGATGTGAAAGACGTTCTATACGCAGCAAAACAGAAACAAAAACAAAAGAAAATCGTTAATAGTTGATTAATTATATTGTTACTTTGAACATTAATTAAAAAGAACGAAAAACAAAAGAAGCTATAATAAAAAAGTATATATGTTTAAATATATATGAGAAAACACAATAATACATTTGGTTTTAATTCCGAGTCGGTCATTATCTCCAGGTGTAATCATCAACTTACCCAACACTCCACGCGACCGAATACATTGTTCCGATTACACTGCGACTATCTGCCTGCCCGATATCTGATACGTATAGCGAACTTGATTTGGCATGACTGTTGGTATATATGTTTTCCTATCTATGTGTACGTGTCTCTCTTTCCTCTGTCTATCTCTCTGTATCTGTCACTATCGACCTTCTATCTATGCCTAACTGTGCTCTGCTGCTCCAAGTGCCTGTCTTGCAGTTCAGAACAGTCCACACCTGAATCCATGTAGTACATCCGTTCCAATGTCAGAACTACATTCATATGTACATCGAAAGGCCGACATCCTGCTGTCTATTCTCGCTGTACTCTAATTGTAAAGCCTATAAAACTGCTGAAGACTCTGTAAAAATGTGTTTGGAATGTGCTGTGTTATCAGTCGTAAATATTCCTCCTGCCAAAACGTACAGACAAGAGTTACCCACTTAATGTGAACCATTTTCTGTTGGGCATCAGAAGAGTAAGTATGTATTTGTATATGAAAAAATTATTCTTAGGCTATGTAACTTTTTGTTGTGTACCCCACCTTCATCATCCAGGAAAGGTAGGTAATCGTAATTTCGTGCCCATACCTCACCATACAGCAATCACAGCGATCTTAAACACTTTCACAAACACACCCAAGTGCAACTTAAATGCCACAGCCACGACGACCTCAGCAATTGAAAGGAAATCCATAAAGGAACATATTTCTATCTTCCCCCTCTGCAAGGTAGAAAACAATCGAACTCGAATCAAACTCTGCCCTTTCATTTTTATAAGTTTTCTGTTCCTCAGTTCTTAAGCTGTTTAACATGTCGATTTCGTAGGAAGTTTTCTATTTTATCAACCCTTATAGTGGGCTTGTGTGCAAATAACTGATTTTGTCTTGTTTGTATTTTCAGCCAAGTTGAAAAAACGTCTTAGCGATGCGTTTAAAAATTGTCCTTTGAGAAACTTGTTCTGAACAAAGGTCTCAAATATAAGAGTCGTACCACGATTCGGTCGGTATCGGTTTCAGATTACCCAAACAGACACCTACACCACCAACACGCCCTCTTGGGCGCGAGTGTATATGTGAAAGAGTAAAGCAAAGTACTCTGCTCCTTTGAATCCTTCAACGTGCATTTCGTGACAGATCCTGATCCAGCCAGGACATTGAATGACGGCTATACTAACTTGTGTGTAAGCTAGGCTTACATCAAATGATTTCGATATGTTGATACGCTTTTACCCAACAGCCCCATTGCCTATAATGTAAGC